TAGTTTTGTCTTTGCCTTGAAGTTTAATGGTGACTGGATTTTGGCGTGTTTTCTCACTTCATCGACGTTAAGCCGGCATCTACTCTTAAGTCTTTTGGTATAGACGGTCTCAAAACCGCTGTACTCTGCTTTGGCTGCCCCTTCGGGCTTTGGCATAAGCTTTCCCTACTGACGTGTGGGATTACTTACTCTGGCGCTGGATTAAATATATAAAAATGTAAATATTGTTTTGACAGCTGACACTTGGTTTTTAAAATTCCTACGTGGATTTTGCTTGCAAACGTTCCTAGACAAAGCTCTAGGTGTATTTAATTTTCGACTCCCCTTCATTGAAATGGTATAATTGTGTGATGTTGAATATTCCTCTTATTTTGTTTGTGTCTGGTTCTCTTAGTACGTATGCATTTTCTGGGTTTTCATTTTCGATAATGTACGGTCCTTCGAATGGGAAGAATAATTTCTTTATTTTCCTTTCCCTGGGTGGTTACGTTCGACTTTAGGGACACACTGTTTGACTAGTTTTACTATATTTTTTTGATTTAAATGATATAAAGTATGATTCAAACTCACCTTAGGTTTGGAAATACGAAAAAAAAGTATAAATCAATTATATATTTTAATTAAATACTTTTTGAAAATAAGAAAACGAGTCTTTTATTAAATTTAACCTAAAACTTGTAAATTTTAATATTTGACATTTCTTTTCTGGATAATGAGCAGGGTTGCCAAGATTAATTTATTACTTGGTATATTTCGGCCATTACCCGCAATATTTAAAAAACTAAGTAGTCTAGGTATTAACAGTATGATCGGGTAGCAGAGAATTTAGAGTGAAATTTTATGTTGAATGAGTCAAATAAAATGATTTTGTAACATTGTATTTTTCGAAATTACTTAAAAATGTCAGTAAGTTATAAAAAATTACAAAGTATTGCTGTTTAATTTTATAAACCATTGTATGAGCTGATATGAACAGATATTATTCTTTGATCTGTGTTAGGGGTCGGCGAGCGATGTTTGATACAGATTCTGGTATTTTATCACACACAATTCTATTATTTTTATTTAAATAAACAAATCATAAAAGTATAATAATTTACGAGTTTATAAATCAATTAAATCTTCTTACATATTAAAATACTTGGCAACCCTGTACACATAAGTCAAAATATTTGATTAAAAATGTGCAACTTTTGAGATTTTAATATTAAATTTCTCGCTTAATTGTGGATAATCTCCAAAAATTTTTTAATTGTTATGATATATAACTTCTTTACTTCCTAATAGTACAAAATTTTTTTTGAAATTCGTGTGTCTTTTAAGTCGAATGTAACCCCCTGGGTTTTGGTATTCTTAATGATTTTACTATTACTAAATCCCCTTTAACAAATTTGTTTGGTTGTTTTATTTGTTTATTCCTCCTTTTAAGGAATTTTTCCGAGATTTTCATAATTTTCTTGTTTACCAGATCAATCGTATCCTTGTAATTTTTGATATGTTCACAGTACCATGGCCTATCTGAATATAAATTTCTCATTAGGTATTGCGGTGTTTCTTCTGTCACTGTATTTGGAACGTGATTCAAGAAATCTTCAATTTCCGGTAGCTTATCCTCCCATAAGTAGTGTTCATTATTTGTTAAAATTCTGAGAAACTTAATTACTTCTTTTACGTATCTCTCTACTGTTAATTAGTGGCTGGCTTATTACTTTAATTTAAATGGTGATGGTTTTATGATTAAAAGAATACATTAATTTAAACGTTGTATTTATTCTCACACCATTTCTTGACAACCTGACACTTGACAACTCTTCTCTCTAATCTCTATACCTGGCCTCTTACATCTAAGTGCTTGGCCTTTTACATCTAACTACTTAACATCTACCGGATTTGCGTTCGGGTGTCTTATGCTGGTATATCTCGGTGTAATATTGTAATTCATTATTCAGTCATGCTCTAATACTCCAAGTCCCTCTCTGTATTATTTGGCCTTTGAGGCTCAACTTGTCCGATTATTATACATAATTAAACCCCTTAAGACCAAACCTATGTGACGACTATGGTGGAGACACTTTCGCGAACATTCCAGAGTCAACGAGATACTATTTCTAGTCTAAATATAACGTGATAACGTTTCTGGTAAATTCTGGTAATTTTGGTGGAGGAACATTCTAGACCACCAATTTGTATATAAATATTGGTGGATGAGCCATCAGAGTTAGTTACTATATGGACAGTGAAGATAAATAGTAATTAGTAGATAGACAGTGGTGAATATAAATAGTGATCAGTTTAAAGACATTCGAAGTATATATAAGAATAGTTGTGTTATAAAATAAATAAGTGTTTAAATAAATTATTAATAAACTGTTGTTTTAAACTAAACAAACATCACAATGTTTTTATGTTTTAAGGATTTTTTGTATCTTTTCATTATTTAAATCCATTATACAAATACTCGGTATTCCTAATTCAGTAAAATATTTGTCCAGACATGTTTTAACTGTTTTGTTATTAGTTCGTCTACATGGATATAATTTAATGAATTTTGTAAATATGTCTAATACAATAAAAATATGTTTATTATGATTATCCGTTGTTACAAGGTTTGTAATGAAATCTACGGATATAATGTCTAATGCTCTTTTAGCGATAATGGATTTAGGTCTATTTTCGTTATGTTTGTTTTTGTCTTTTGCTAATTGGCACATCGTACAATTCGTTGTTATAGTTTTAGCTTTTGTCGTGTCCTTTTTCGATATGAATGTCTCGCGAAATAATAGCGATAATTTGCGTGATTCAGGGTGTCCATAGGATAAATGTAATTGGGTCATGATTTTATGAGATAGTTCGTTCGTTATTATGTATAATTCATGTCCTAGTAATGTTTTGTAATAAAATGTCCCATTAAATAATGCATTCTCTTTTTGTTTAATTGTTAAATTTTTTGGTCATTAATAATACTCTTATTTGTAAAAGGTAGTTGTATTTCTTTCATTATATTTAATCCAATATGTATCTGCCTTCGGTCTATTGGTTTGTCAATTCTACTTATAGAGTCGCTAATAATGTTAAGCTTGCCGGGTACGTGTCTTATTTCAAACGAATATTCTTGTATTAAGATCGACCAGCGATGTATACGACTATTACCGTATTTGTGGTTTAATAATGATAAGAGTGCACTATTATGTTTCTAGTATAAATTTCTTTTCCAGTAAGTAGAATCTGAACTTTTCGACACAGTAAATTATGCTTGCTAGCTCAAGCTCACTGCTACTGTAGTTTCTCTCATGTTTTTTTGTTATGCGTGATACGAATGTTATAGGAATTTCCATTTCGTTTTGTATTTGTAATAATACACCAGCAAATCTATTTACTGAAGCATCCGTCCGAAGTATAAATTCCTTTTCATAATCTGGATAGTATATCTTGAGGTTTTCACAAAAATTCTGTTTAATTTTCTTGAAAGCCTTTTCTCTTTCTTCATTCCAACTCCATCTGACACCTTTGCGTAATAATTCTAGGAATGGTATTTCTAGGTTTGATATGTCTGGTATTAATCTTTTAAAGTAATTTATTAAACCAAGAAATCCTCGCATTGTTTTTAAATTATGAGGTCTTTTAAATTCCAATATTTAATTTTAAACGGTCTGGGTCCATTGATACACCTTGTTGGTCAAGTTTATACCCTAGATATACTGTTTCTGTTTTAAAAAATTCGCATTTATCTAAATTTAATTTTAATCCAGCATCATTAAGTTCCTTTAATATCAACTTTATATGTTTCAGGTGATCTTCCTCGTTTTTGCTATAAATTAGCACATCATCAACATAGTTTAATACGAAGGATTCGTATTTCCTCAAGATTTGATGTAATGCTCTTACTAACGCAGCTGAAGCACTCTGTATCCCGAAAGGCACTACAGAAAAACAATATACAACGCCATCTATTGAAAAACCTGTGTACTTTCTACACTTTTCGTGGAGTGGTATTAATCAGAAACTTTGAGAAAATTCTTGCATTAGTTATTCTGCCTAATAAATTCTGTATAATTATAGGTTGTTCATATTGTGGTATAGTAAATTTATTTATAGTTCTTGCATCTAAGCAAATCCTGATATCTCCGTTTTTCTTCTTAACGATTACGATGGGATTAATATAAGGAGTGTTAGAATATTGTATAATATTTTGATTTAGTAACTTTTTTAATTCTACTTGCAATTTATCTTTATAATAGTAAGGAACTGGATAAGATTTGTTTTTAAAATGATCAATCGGCTTCACCGCAAATTTGTGAACATAATTTTTAGCAACACTTGATGTATTTGAGAATAATTCTTTATGTTGACTTATTATTGTTCTTAATATATCATTTTTATTCACAGAACAATTTAACTTTATATCATTTATACTTATTTCATTTTCATAATTCATTTCATATTCATTTTCATTATATTTTTCATAATCATTTATATTATTTTTATAATTGTTTTCCTGGAATAATTTTTTTTACTCAAATTCATGTTTGCTTCTAAACGTTTGTATTTAAATTTACAACATCGCCTATTTTTCAATTATCTTTAATATTGATCCATTCTTTATTAATTCTGATTATTTGTTTTTCATAATCTATAATTACATTATGTTTATTTAATTGATCTGCACCTATGATTATATCATATAATAAATTTGGTGTTATTAATAACTCTAATAAAATTGGTTTTTCTTTTATTTGTAGTTCTACTGTAACTAACTTTGATATCTCACACAGTTTTCGATTGTTTGCACCTACAATATTTAATTTAGGAATTTTTATTACATTTTTAAACAATGATGGATACTTTTCAACTATATTTTGATTGATTAGACTAGCCTCTGAAGCTGTATCAAATAATAAATTAAATTCTATGTTATTAACCTTTGTTTTAATTATTATTAAATCTGTTTTAATATTATTATTGATTACTTGAATATTTTCTGATTGCAAAAAGTTTTTGCTTTATAAAAAATGGGAAATTTGGTCATTTTGTTCATTAATCTCATTGTCAGGGTTTGGTGGATTGTTTCTGCTATTAGCGTTTTGTTGCTCATTATTTTGGTTATCTTCTCCGTTTATCCTAATACTTTGTCTTCTCTCATTGATTCTGCTTCTTGATCTTTCTACTCTTTGAAAATTCACCCTTCTAGTATCCCTGTTAGTAAAATTTCGCTCCCCCATATATGTCTGGTCTCTGTCCATGTTTTGTCGATATTGGTTATATTCCGTTTGGCTTCTTCCATAGGCATTTTGATTAGTGTTGTTGTTATACCCATTTTGACTATAGTTCTGATTATTTTTGTACCTACCCATATAATTATTGTTGTTATATCTGCGTGTATTATGGTTTCTATTATATGTATGATTGGTATTTTGCATAGTTTGGAAATTTTTATTTTGTCTGTACCTCTGAGGGTTTGTGCTCCTTTCAATCAGCATCAAATAATTGTTAAATTGCTCCATAATCTTCATATTTTGGATTGCAACTGTTTCTGTGACCTGTGACTTAAAATGACGGTACAGTAATATAACCGCTTGTTCCTCTGGAATTTTCGGCTCAAGATATTGTACCTGTGAATATATCTGCATAATATAAGTATTACGATTTGTGTTCCTGTTTTCGTCATATTTCCCAAATTGTAACCTTTCTCTTACCAATGATTGTGTAACTGTTCCCCAATATAATGCTAAAATTTGTTTTTCAAAGTCTTCAAAAGTGTTAATTTCAGGTTCCTTACTGGAGAACCATATCAATGCGTGTCCCGTAAGATATTCTCGAAGTATTTCTCGTAGTTTTTCAACTTCATTAGTTTTTGTAACCCTATTCCTAATAATATTTACGAATACCTTTGGATGTAGTTTCTTGATGTCCCCTTCGAATTTTATATTGTTTTGTCCATAGCATAGTTGGATGTAATTTGTACTTGCTGTTCCTATTTTTATTTTTCTAATTTCTTCTTCCATTTTCAGTCTTTCTTCTTTTAATAATCTTGTGTGTTCTTCTTTTTGGTTTATTATTTTCCTCTCTAGTTTGAGGTTTTCTTCCTCCATTACACTCAAATTTGTTTGTATACCAACCTTTACTGTTTCTTCCAAGTCTAGTATATTTTGACTGTTCGTGATTATTTTTCTTTCCATCTGTTTAATTTTATTTTCTTGTGTTGTTTCTTGTTTAGGTCTTGAAGATAATTTGCCATCTTTTCCTCTAGTTTTTCCCAAATTTCACTTTTTATACTGTCTAAACGTTCCTCTATCTTTGCACTTATTTTTTCTATTTTATTATTTGTTTCCTGACTCTGCTTTTTTGTCTGTTCCATTAACTGGTTTAATATTGTCAACATCCTATTCTCTTGAGACTTTTTCTATAATTTCATCTCCACTTCCTTCAGAATTCATGTTATCGTCTTTTACCTCTATGGTTTTTTCCGGAATTTTGTCCTCGACTTCTTCTCCTCCTTCTGCGTTTCTGTGTTTACTTCTAGTTTCCATTTCGTTGTTGGTTCGGTTAATAAAATTTTAATTTACATAAATAATTCAAATTTTTTTTTTAATGATTCTGAATGTGATTTATTAAGAATTGAAATTTGTTTTATTTTAGAAATTAGTTATAATGGGTTTCCAATAAAATTTCGGTTTTAGTATGATTTATTTATTGTATTTTATATTTCAAGAATCCTCACTTTTTTTTTTATTTATTATGATTCAATTTTTTAGGGCGACATTTGATATGGTTTGTTTAATTTTGAAGTGAAACCATATCTTTAATATAATTTAAAAGAATATGAGCGCCAATTATTTATTTTATCTTCCCGGATAGCGTATTCATAGACAGAACTTACTATTGACTAAAATATTTTTAGAGCAAACTCTCTTATCTCCAGGTAGGGTTCAAACAGTTATTCGTAGATGGGGCAGCCTGCTTTTTATTTCTAATTTGATTAATATTAAATAATTCTTCAAAATGTATTATTATGATTAAAACACACCATTACATTATTGTATTTATTTAACTATTAAATAAATTAAATGCTTTTCCTTTTTTTTTATAAAAAAAAAAACAATACAAGTACAGAATTACACTAACACTCGGTGTGTTATTCCTGAACGTGCCCCTTCTGATGAGCCGATCAAAGTTAAAGGAAAGTACGGCGCATGGCACTTCTGTTGTCCAGATATAGCTATCATTGTCATAAGATTGATTTTTGCAAGTTTCAGTGTTGATATTCGCCCCGCGTCTTGTTATGTTATCAACCAAACAAAATGCTATTCCATATTTGGCTCATTTCCTTTATTATATCAAGACTATTTTTTCATTATAATTAGGCTTCTTTTCGAGAATTCTTATGTTTTAAACTGTTTGTTATGTCCCTCGCTTTTTCTTAATTTTTTTTATTATTGTGATTGCACCAGAAGAGAAACACTTGATTTTCCGAAACGTATGTTGTATTCTTAAATAAAATCTTATCGTTAACGATATTATCGGTGATTTATGTTTACATTGAATCACCCTATTTGCAAACATATCCTATTTATAAGAATTACTTTTGAAAAGTTTTACTTTTTTTTTCTTGAAATAACTTTTTGGATAGGAATAAAAGTGGCTTTATAAGTATTTGTATTAGTAATATGATTAAGCATTAAACTGGACTAAATATCCAAAAAGAATATTTAACTCGTTTTATAATTAGCATTAGTGCTTCTTTTTTAATAATCTTTTTCCTAATAAGATATAATTTTGCAGTCAACAAAATGTTGGTTACTGAAGAAAAGAGGCACGTTGTAATGAAGACAATTTTCCTCAATCAATTTATTTTCATTTTTAATAAATTTTTAACGCGGTTGAACTGTCGATCCTCAGCTAATTTTCAGATGCGCGAACGCCACTCGAAGTCTCGATGCGCGGTGGGTCTGAACGTAAGTGGGATTTTCGATTGGGAGAGGGACAGTTGTTTGAACGATACCCGAGATGCTATTAAAATTATCAGTTCGATATAATTTTTGGTTGCCAGCAGTTGAGTCTAATAAGCCGCATTAGAAATCAAATCACCGTCGATATTTTTTCCCTTTTCCGAGTATTTACAAATCCGTTAGGTAAAAAAACCTTGTTCCGCTTTTTACGTTGGACATTTTAAAAATCGAATTAGCTTGTAGAAATAGGAATATTTTTATAGATAGTGTTTAGTTAAAAGATTTAATTTATTTTATTTAATAAATAATTGAATTTGTTTCTTGGCAAATAATACCGTTTCTTTATTTTTATTTTATAGATAGTGTTTAGTTAAAATAATTAATTTGATTTAACTAATAAATATTAGAAATTGTTTCTTGGTAAAATATTACCGTTTTTTTATAGTTAGTGTTTAGATAAAAGATTTAGTTTGATTTCCTTAGTAAGCATTTGAATTTATTTCTTGACAAATATACCGTTTCTTTAAAAAGGGATAGAATTTGAATTAATATTAAATGAAAGGATTTAATTCTGTAATATTGTAAAACCGGGGATTTTAGACTTTTGATCGTTAGTCTGTATTAAGAAATTATTTTTTTTTTCTTTTGATAGGTTAAATCGGGAATTAAATTTGATTTAATTGATAAATACTTTTGTTTAGTAAGTAACGCGTTGTAATTAAGTTGGGAATATTTGTAAACCGTATATTTGAATAATCTTAAATAGCATCCTGTCCTTGTCTGAACGGGCTCGTGATGACGATCAGTTCACCCTTGGAGTAGGTGCTATCCGCGTTATAATTTTTTTTTAGTTTATCTGTAAACCGCATTTTTTAAATAATTTTAAATAGTATCCTGTCCTCTTTGAACGGGCTCGTGATGACGATCAGTTCACTCTTGGAGTAAGTACTATCCGCGTTAGTAATTTTCTTCCCTCCGATAATAAATTGTTTTTCTCTTTTTCCGTCAATTTAAATAACTTTAAATAGTATCCTGTCCCTGTCTGAACGGGCTCGTGATGACGATCAGTTCATTCTTGGACTAGGTGCTATCCGCGTTAGTTTTCTTTTCCCCTTTATATGCTTCATTTTATTTCGTGCAAACTGCAAGTTTTAGAAATCAAAAACAGCTTCATTACCCTGTCTGAGCGAGCTCGTGATGACGATCAGCTCATTCTGGGATAATAGGCTACCACGGGTATAAATTAATTTTTATTTTCTTTCTAGTTACTTATAAGTAATTCTTTCGCGTCCCTGTCTCCTCGCACTCTCTTCGACCGTTTAGCTAATTTTTCTCCACCTAAATAGCAAAATTTTTACATTTTAGTTTAATTCCCGATACCGCGGGGTAAACAGTTATTTACCGAGTAAATAGCCAAGTTAGTATTTTTTTTTCTGCGACCGAAACATATATTTTATTTTAATTTAATTTTGACGTCTGATTGAGACTAGTCGCGAATCAATACCGTCCGTTTTGTTTCTTTTTTTTATATATTCAGGGTTATATTGACTATCGCCACAACTGGGGTGGGCGTTGAAATATTTAATTTTTTTTGTTGTAAATAGTTAATTACAATATATGTGTCAACGTTAACCTGCCGTTAATAATTCCCTACTTTATTTCCCCCTTATATTTCAGCTAGTGATAAATTCCGTACGAGCCCAAGCAACGATTAAAGCCCATTACTTGTGGCCTACTATTACCTGTGTCTAAGTGACCTTTGACCCCTGGAATTTTTAGGTCTTTTGAAAAGAGCGGTTCCGCGAAATAACCTTACTTTATCAAAATGACAAAAACCAATATTTAGCACGAAAATCCAGGTATACTTTTTAGTATGAATGATTCAATACATTATTATAATTTAAAAAAATAAATAAATCATTACATAACAAGACCTCCAAATATGTTTTTTAGGTGTTTAAAATGGCACGATTACGCGGATAAACATTACTTTATCAAAATGACAAAAACCAATATTTAGCACGAAAATTCAGATAAAATTTTTAGTATGAATGACTCCATACATTAGTATAATTCAAACAAATAATAAATCATTACATAGCAAGACCTATAAATACGTTTTTTAGGTCTTTTGAAAAGCGCGGTTCCGCGGAATAACCTTACTTTATCAAAATGACAAATACCAATATTTAGCACGAAAATCCAGGTATACTTTTTAGTATGAATGATTCAATACATTATTATAATTCAAAAAAATAAATCATTACATAGCAAGACCTCCAAATATATTTTTTAGGTGTTTAAAATGGCGCGATTCCGCGGATAAACATTACTTTATCAAAATTACAAAAACCAACATTTAGCACGAAAATCCAGGTATACTTTTTAGTATGAATGATTCAATACATTATTAAAATTCAAAAAAATAATAAATCATTACATAGCAAGACTTCCAAATATGTTTTTTAGGTGTTTAAAATGGCGGGATTCCGCGGATAAACATTCCCAGCTAGCACATAACGTTGCCAAGCATTTCGGCGATGTTGCATTAAGGGAACGTAATAACATTACTGTACAGCGTAAATGCAACGTTCATGAGAAGTTGTTGAGGGAAATCAAAACCTCGCAAAACTTCTATTTGTTATTTACCTAGTTAACCTACCGTAAACATTACAAATCTGAATTCAGAACGTTTAGTTTTATGTCAATTGTTACTTGTCAGTTTTTCTTGTCAATTGTCTTTTTTAATGGTTTCTTTTTCGACATCCAGAATTTATTTTATAAATAATTATTATTTATACATTCGAATAGATTTGGTAAGGGTCCTCTATAAAATAGATAACTATTTTCTAAACCATTGTCTTTGTTTCAGATTACAATGCCTGATGTAAATTTATTATTTCATTCATTAAGTATCTTTAGCAGTCGATGGCGATGACACCAAATAAAAAAAAACTACAATAAAAACAAAGAATTGCAGATCAATCGTTGTAAACCAGAAGATAAACATTTAACCGAATGTCCGGCAACATTTTACACCAAATACTTATAAAAGGTAATTATACTTTATCGAACTAAAAATACATTTTAAAAATATTATTTTTTAGGTTTCCTTCGACATTCTAGGAATTTTAGAAGCAAAAGTAAATACTACAGAAGTGTAAAGAAGAATATAACACCTGAAGTTTTATAAAAAGTGAATCTATAGGTACATGATATGTCAGGTATAT